GGGTCATTTCTTATCCCCTTTCTACGCTGCGGTGTTGCGAAAAAGAGAGAGAGAAAACAAGGAAGACGAAAACTAAAGATAGAAAGTTAAAACATACTAATAATGAGAATAATGGTAACAAATATGATGAAAAAGAATGATAACAATTATGATGAGAAAGATAATGATAATAAAGATACCGATAAGGAAAATGGTAAACATCATTAGTTTTTTAATTGGTTTAATTGGTAATATCGTTATTTTTATTATTATTATCATTATTGTTATTATTATTTTCATAATCATTATCATTATTTTTACTACCACCATCATCATTATAATAATTGTTATTATTGTTGTTGTTGCTGTTATTATTATTATATGATAAGAGTAATAACAACAATTATGATGATAAAGATAATAATAATAATGTTATTACTAGTAGTTTTATTATCATTATTATTTCTGTTAACATTATCAGTGTTATTGTTATTATTATTAATATTATTAGCATTATTATTGCTATTATAATTATCATTACTGTTGTTGTTTTTGTTCTTAATATTATCATTATGATTATCATCATTATTATTATTATTGTCGTTTCTATTGCTGTTACCATTATTATCAACATTATTATGATTATTATTAAGAGTATCATTATAATGATTATCATCATCATTATGATCATTATCATTATAATTATCACAATCATTATTATCAATAATATTATAATTATGATAATAATAACACTAATGATAATGTCTCCTTTATCACCGTTTCCTTTCTACGTGTTCAAAGCGTCTTCTGCGATATCTATTATTTCTCTCTTTCCTTCTGCGAATTCTTTAGCTCCCTCATTTGTTATCCTTTGCTTCTCCATTTCTTCTTCTGGGTTCCTCTTTGCACATTTGTTTTCTTATCTCGTCTTTGGTTATTTTGGGTGTATATTCGCTACTCGTTTGCCTCAATATTTACCGTTATATCTTTTCTAAAATCCTTCAGATATATATATTTCTGATTTTTCATTTCTTCCTCTTTTCAGACTTTCTTTCCAAGATCGTTTCGTACAACCAAAGAGTCATTTTTACACTGATTATTCATCTCTCTGAACGAAGTAGGTAGTGCTCTTCGGTTCCCTCGGCCTCCCTTCTTGCGTCACATTTGACAAACACTTCTTCCACGGTTGTTTTTCTTTTTTTTTTTTCTTCCAAAAATTTGCTTTGCTGCCTCTCTTAGACATTTCCCCCCCTGTTCCCATCGATCCTCACGCACACATACATACATACACACACACACACACACACACATACACACACACACACACACATATATATATATATATATGCACATATGTGTTTGTGTGTATACATATATGTATGTATGTATGCATTGTGTGTGTGTGTGTGAAATGAAAATTTGAATGTATGTATAAATAGATAAACAGATAGACAGATATAAAGATAGATGGATAGGCAGATAGATAGATGGACAGACAGATAGAATAATTGATATATAGATAGGGAGATAAATAGGTAGATATCCAAATATGTATATATATATATATGTGTGTGTGTGTGTGTGTGTGTGTAATGTACGTGTATGTATGTGTGTATATGTATATATATGTGTGTGTGTGTTTATATATGTATATATATGTACATATATAGACAGATATAAAGATAGATGGATAGGCAGATAGATAGATGGACAGATAGATAGAATAATTGATATATAGATAGGGAGATATATAGGTAGATATCCAAATATGTAAATATATATATATATATATGTGTGTGTGTGTGTGTGTGTACGTATGTGTGTGTATATATGTATATATATATGTGTGCATGTGTGTATTTATATATGTATATATATGTACATATATATGTGTGTGTGTGTGTGTGTGCGTGTGTGTGTGTTTGTGTGTGTATACGAGTGTGTGCACACACATATGTATATATGTGTGTATATAAAATTTTATATATATACATATGTATACATATATATGCATATATACATATATATATATTGTACACACACACATATTTGCGTATGCGTGTGTGTACATATATATACACACACATACATATATGTATATATATATATATATTATACATATGCGCACATGTGTGTGTATATGAAAATATGTATGTCTATATATATATATATACATATATGTATATATGTATATATACATATATGTATATATGTATATATACATATATGTATATATGTATATATACATATATGTATATATGTATATATACATATATGTATATATGCAAATATATACATATATTTACATATATATACATATGTATGTATATACACACATATATGTGTGTGGTATATATACATATGATATATACATGTATATGTATACATGTATATGTGTGTATGTGTGCGCATATATATTTATATATATGTATACATATATATATATGTATATATATGCATGTATATATATATCACACACACATATATGTGTATATATACAATATACATATATATATTATACACACACACACACATTTATATTTATATATGTGTGTGTGCTTGTGTGTATACATATATATAACACACATACATATGTGCGTATGTATGTGTGTGTGTATGTATATGTGTACATATATATGTATATATAATATATATATATATATGCATATGTATAACATACACACATGTGCGAATATGTGTGTATGTATATATATGTGTGTATATCTATATATGTAAATATGTATATATATACATACATATATACACACATTAATATATATATGCGTGTGTGCGTGTGTATGTGTGTGTGTGTGTGTGTGTGTGCGTGTGTATATATATATGCATATATATATGTATATATATATATATACATATATTCATATGTGTGTATATATATACATATATATATATATTGTGTGTGTGTGTGTGGGGGGGGGGGTAAATGTCCTATTCAAGAAAGGTATAAATGTAGGAAGATGCACCAAGGAGTCAGGGTCAGGTAGTTGCCTGTGTCCGGTCACCAGTCTTGCAGGTTCAAACAAGAGCGAAAAATTTAGATAAAGACACATCCATAACTACACATACATTTGTAAGGTTAAGTGACAGAGGAACCCAAAAGAGGCCACCCGTGAGGCAGAAGGCTTCAGGCTTCGGGGCCAAGAAAAATGAGGGGCCCCGTTCGTTCCTCGAAAAGGGGGCTGAGGGACCAAGCTGAAGGCACAGAACCCACACGATCTCACAAGCCAATTATCCCCGGAGATGTAGGCCTACCAGGAGCGTGACCAATACGAAGATGCATGAGAGTAAAATACAAAATCTAAAAGGAACAAAAATAACCGTGCAGAAGGCACCAAATTGAAATAAATTAATACGTAAAAGACAATTGCCAAGGCTTAAGAAAACTGAAAGCATGCCAGAAGGGCTTAAAAACGATAAAAAGAATTAGCATCTAAGATGAAACAAGTAAAAGGTAAAATAAGGGAAAAAGTAAAGCTCAAGTCAAAGCAATGAACATGAATAAAAGTAACAAGTAAAAGGACAAGATAAAAGTGAGTAAAATTCAGAGAAAATAAAAAGTCAAAGTTAAAGGCGCATACATGGTTCACAGTTTACGTAATATAATAAAAAGGCACGTCCAGCATAAATACACCTGGGCAAGTAAAAGGGGCACTACAACCTTGTTCCGGCATCCACGGTGTAGAATCCAGACAGGTAAATCCAAAGGGTAGTCAAAACACAGTCAGAGTATCCACTTCATTTATTTTACTAGAACATGGGGGTTACATTAACTCCCGCGGACGTCAGTGTAGCACATAAATATAGTAAAACAATAAATAAGAATTATTATAATAAAAGAAAATATACAAAAGATAAAACCAATAATAAAAACAATAAAACGTTAAAAGAAATCATTAGAGAATTACAATTACAATGGAAAAAATACGTAAGAGAATCTGCTGCGATTCATTAATAAAAATCTTAAAATAAGTAACTTTCTCTTGCCGTAAAAGTGAAATAAAAAGGATGAATAAGTAAAAAGAAACCATCACAAAATAAAACGGAGTTTAAAACACAAAAGATAAAAAAACGTAAAAAAAAGATGCAGTCGCAGCAGATGTAGATGTCTGTTATCCGCACATCATCAGAATCTTTGTAACTTATGGACGGATAACGAAGGATCTCAAAGTTTTATTTGAAAATGTAGAAGAAAGGGTGTAAATAAACGTAAAATACATGTAAAAAAATAAGGGCTAGCATAATACAGAAATAAAACGAAGCGTAAAAATGAGACTGGCAGAGGGAAGTGGTCCGGCTGTGCTCGACTCGCCCTGTGGATTTCGGCAGGATGCTGGGTAGAATAGGGATAGGATGGTAGCAGGAGAGGATAGGATAGAGATAAAAGGTAGAGCAAGCGAGGAAAACGAGTAGAAGAGGGAGAAGCTACCGTAGAAGTAGAGAGAGAAGAGAAAAGGCGAGAGGACAGGATGAAGGTGCGAATAAGGGGACGAGAGGGATAGAAGGATCGGGGCAAGGAAAGGGGGGAGGATAGGTGATGGGTATGGTGAGGGGGGGAGGAGGTTGAAAACCTCACACATTCACATACACGCATGCACATGCACATACACATAAACACATATGCACGCAAATACATACACATGTAGATAAGTAGATATATATATACATATATTCACAAGACACATTTATATATAAAATGAATTTGTGTAACTTCCTCGCCACTATCGGGGAATTTCATAGATGGAGGAGGATTTGTTTCTCGCTTTTAGGAAAGGGTATGACTTTGGCGTTTGCGTTTCCAATATCGTAGCAGAAATAATAACCGTAACTGCGAGTTCCCTCGGCCGGTTAATTACTCCATTCTTCGAGTGAATTGTGCAACATTGGGCAGCCGTCATCCGCAGCGTAGCATTTCTTTCAACTCTAGGAAAAAAAGAGCAAACAACAATATCCCGCACCGGCATCCCTTACCTTTAGTCCTGGGACGACCATTTAAATATCCTTCCCGGGACCTCGACACACACTCGCAGCGCGCCCTCCGCAAAAGCGCCTCCACGAATACTTATAGCTTCTTCTGTAAGTCGGATGGTTTATCTATTTTATCAAAGATATTACATGTGTACATTATAGCCTACGTAGGGATCATATTATATCTAGGCTTGTATGTGAGGAAAGACTTAGGTTTTCTTTTTTCTCTCTCCTTCCAGGGTGTATTGCATTGCAGTCTGAGGATTCAAAAGCGCGATGGCTTGTCACCCCTTTGCTGTGGTCCTAGCGTGTCTGGTCCTGGCGACGGCGTCCTCCCTGTCCGTTTTAGGTAAGAACACAAATCTAAGGGTTTTCCTGACTGTTATAACCGCTTTGAAGTTTCATTTGATATACTGAAAGAGTATGTGCTGTCACAGTTCTGAAATGGATTTAAAAGAGAAACTATTGTCAACATATCTGTTCAGCTCACGATGCACAAATACGGACAGACACGGTCAAACGCGTATATACAGTAATTCACACAGAAAAAGCTCTATATACCTTTTGCGTCCACTTGCAGAAAAGTCAACGGTATTCGACTAATTGCAAGGACAGCTGGATAACCTGGAAGTGAGATATTATAAATCATAAAAAATAAGATAGCTTCGTATTTAATTGCATTTGGCTGCACGATCCCCATGTACCCACCAAAGCATGTATTTTCGAATGTATGTCTACGAACACTTCATTTTGAAGATTCATCTTTATTTACACTAAGTGATATGTGGTGTTTTCCCCAATTTAACTTCTATGATTTTTTTTCAGGGATCCGAGAACTTATTAAAGATAAGTAAGAGACACGCTGAGATACATCATGTTGCCAAGGTACAGTGTCTTTTTTCCTTAAATGTTTTCCATAAATGCTATATAATTGAGAGACAGATACCGATACTGAGACAGACATTCAGGCAGGCTTACAGACAAAAGGCAGACAAAAAGGCAAAGATAGAGGCAGAGGCAAACACACAGGAAGAAAAGACAGCGATAGATAGATAGACAAATGAAGAAAGTTAAGGAGAGAATAAATGATCTATAGAATATAAGTCAAACCGGAAATACAGTAGCGTAATTATATACTTGTTTTCTCTTTTTTCCAGCGAGAAACAAAAATACACGCCGTTTCCAAGCGCCAGGCATCGGACAAGTCACGGCTTGAGGTAAGTAAAGCAAGCATCAGTCACTGTTGAACGAGGCGAGGTGCTATCACAGAACCGCATATCCCTTACACCAGACTCTTTTCCTCTCCATTCCTACTACTCTTTTCTCTGTCCGTTCTTATTTTCTTTACGACCTCTTGTTCCTTCTCCTGCGCGACTCTCCCTTTCCTCTTCGTTGCAACTTTCTCGATTCTCTTCAACACGACCGCCCCTTTCCTCTTAGATAAAGCCTATCTATTCTCTTCAGTACGACCTCCTCTTTCCTTTTCAACACGTGCCCCATTCCTCTGTTGATTGCGGTCTCCTCTTTCCTATCTTCCCGCAGTCGCTGCAGTTAAGAGCAGCGCTGATGTTAGTCGAGGCCGACCAGGCAGCGGACAGCGTGGCACTCGAGCTGGTCGAAGTATTCGAACAGATCAACAGCACACTGCAAGCAGGCCGAGGCGGCCTAGCCGAGGCCTTCGAACGATGCCTCCAGGCCATTGCAGCCAACGTCAGCGCCAACAGCGTGCTGCCGAAGGACTGCGGAAGGGTCGGTGGCTTGTTTCTTGTTGGTTTCGTTTTCTTTTATTGTGGCGAGGCTGGCGACTGTCTCTTCTCATTTTATCTTAAAAGCACACTCGTATATGTGTGTGTATACATATATACATTTATATATATGAACACACATGTATATATATATGTATATATGTATATGTATCTATATATATGCCCATATACATATATACGTATGAATATGCACATATATATATATTATATATACATATATATGTATGAATATGCATATATATATTATATATATATGTATGTAGATATACATATACAGTAAGTCCCCTACTTACGAACATTCCATACATACAAACATTTTTTTCTTTTAATATTTAAGTCCAAAATAATGTTTGAAAGATGCTAACAAACTTCAAATTTCCTGGGCGTAAATATAGTTCACGAGTCTGCCACGCCACTCAGCTGTGGGCATCACTGCCTCATTGGGAAAAAAGACAATGGAGACCCGACTTTGGATATACAAACAAATGGTGTTACGAACAGCCTCTCGGTCCCCATTATGTTCTAAGTTGGGGACTTTCTGTACATGTATAAATATACAGTATAAGTATATATTTGCATATAGCATATATATGTGTATGTATATCTATATATTGTTGCATTTCTTTTTATATTTGTATACATGTTACTGTGTTTGAGTATGTGGTCATATATATATGTATGTATATGTATGATTGTTTATATATACATATATACATGCACGCACATATATATATGCACATATATATGCACACACACAATATCTATATAAAGATATATTTGTGTGTGCGCATGTGTGTTGCGTGTGTATATATATACGTATGTATACGTCTATTTAAATCTATTTATATATATATATATATATATGTATGTATATATATGTGTGTGTGTGCGTGTGTATATGTGTATATGTGTATATGTATATATACATATACGCACATACATACAGGCAACACAATCAGTGTGTGCATGCGATAATGTTCATCCAATATCATCTAACCGTATTACCCGTGACTCGCCATTGGGAACGATGATGAGCAACCAACACGGCAACCACGACGAGGCAACTCCCGCACGCCCTTCGCCTTACGCCTGCTTCCCTCCTTCAGAGTGCCTCCGACAGCGGTGACGTCCTTCGCGGTTCCCACCCATGGGTCGTGAGCGTTGGGTTCAAGCGTGGAGACAGGCACGTTATCGGCTGCGCTGCCGTTGTTATCAGCCATTATCACGTCATAACAGATGCTATCTGTGCCGCTACGATCAAATAGTGAGTCTGTTTTAACGGTTTATATTTGTTATCTGTTTATCTTGAAAGTTTTTTTTTTCCTTCTTCGGCTAGCCAGTCTTTCGGTCTTGCTTCGCGTCGTGCTGGTTGTACAGTCAGAAAAAGTATCGTCATCCTTTGCACAAACTACTATGAAAAATCCACGAAGTGGTGTGGAAAAGCGAGGCAAGGTAGTTAGCACAGTAGTACAGTGGTAGCAGAGAGAAGCGTCCAGTTCCTAATTGACCACAATTAAAGGTATCGATACTTTTTTGACTGTACATAATCGCAAACTGTTACTTAAATAGAGACGTTTCTTTATCAGTTAGTACCGGGCTCCTCTCATGGGCATATCCCGGGCGAGGCTCTGCTTCGCAAATCAGACAAAAAAAAAAAAAAATAATAAAAAAATAAAAAAAAAAAATAAATAAATAAATCAGTTAGTTCGTTCGGTTTGCACTGCCTTGTTCTCATTATTATCACCATTGTTTTCACTGTCAGTGTTATTATCATCATAGTAGTAGTAGTAGCATTGTTATTCCCATTCATACTATTTTTTGTTATTTTTATTACTGTCATTATCATTATTATCATCAATGTTATCATTGGTACTACTCTTATCACAATCATTATCACTATTACTGTTAGTGTCATCATTATTGTTATAATTATTATATCTATCATCATTATCATTATTATTTATCTATTAATGTATTAATTTTATGAAAACATATCAAACCAACTAAAAAGACCTAAAAAATCTCTTATGAATGAGAATCAAGATCCATGCCATCCCAAAGATTTAACCCACACGTTTTGGCACATTACATGCAATATCACTGATAACTCGGCATCGCAACGCATCTCATCTCATCTTCCTCATGTCTCATCTCTTAGCCTCTTTGATTTCTCCTTCCTTTGTTTCACGAACCCACTCACCCTCGTCCAGTCCCCTGTTCCACAAATATGCCAACGACCTAAACATCGCAACGACCTCTCTTCATCGCCATCTCCTTTTTCGACCTCCAGTGACCACGTACTCTTGAAAAACACGGCCTACAAAGTTGCCAATAGATGGTTCCACCTTAGTCTGGAGAGTGATGATGACGTCACCAATGGCCATAACATTGGCATCGTCATGACAGAATCGCCGATCGTCTTTAACGGTAAGAGGTTTTCTTATATATATATATATTTTTTTTAATTGTTTTTAATAGCATGGTGATTTTGTTATTATCATTATTATTTGTGGTAGTAGTATTGTTTTTATTATCATTATATTTATCGTTGTTGTTATTGTCGGTATTATCATTATTATCGTTGTTATTGTTTTATTATAAGCATCATCATTATTATTACTATTTTCATTATCACTATTACTATCACTATCATTATCATTATCACAATAATAATGATTATCATTGATATCATTATCATTATCACATTTGTCCATCTTTTAATTTATTTACTTATGTATCTATATATCTGTATACTATGCATGGAACGCAAAATATGATTTTGGAGATAAATAATGTAGTTTGAATATAAGTTTGGAGATTCATCAAGTCTCATAGGTTAACGGTTCATAATTAAAAATAATATGAATTCACTTAATTCATTTATATATAAAAACAAAATTAAAGTTAACATAAATAGCTGCAAAAATAGCAACCACCTTCTAAATACACTTGCTACTAGTAAAAAAAAATCATATTCTTACCTTATCATTTACATTAAAAATCATTCATAACGATTCTCCGTAAATAATACATATGTATATATATATATAGCATGCGCGTCCAAAGGAAGTTTCAGACCAATTTCCCAACAGTACGTTTGTTAAACATTTTGTTAATTTAAACATCAATATATTCACATCAATGCGCAGTGTATTAACGCGATGACATCGATGTTTATGGTATAGGTGAAACAAATACCATAAACAAATATCAACAAATATCTGACTAACGCATTTAGTCTGAGAACACCTCTGGACCCACATACTCTTATCAATCACGCGACACGTTCTCTAACGTCCCCCGTCTTTCCCGGTTTCCCAGACGAGGTGCAGCCAGCGTGTTTGCCCGGAATCTCCGACGTAGTGGACCCGGCCGGGCAGGGGTCCACCACTCTCGTCGGGTTCGAGGAAGGAAGCAGTGGAGGTGGGGAGTCTATGGAAAGGATGGCTGTACGCCTCACATCTTGAATCAGATCTGTCTATCTACCCCCCCCCCCCCACTCTCTCTCTTTCTCTCTCTCACTCTTTCTCATTCACTCTTTTTGTCTCTCTCTCTCTCTATATATATACACATGTATATATCTATGCATTTATTCACTTATTTAATTAGGTAATATGGAATATACATATAAATTGTGTAGGTAGTTATATATGTATCTATTTATGTATGGATTGATGTGTACACTTACAAAAACACATACATACACACATTTGTGTGTGTCTGTGTGTGTACGTGCACGTGGAGAAAGCGTCAAATTCAAAATATTTTATTCCATTTGTTACAAGAGAGAGGGGAAGGGTCAAAAAGGAAGGAGAGAGAGAGGGGGGGGAGGGGGAGGCGAGAAAAAAAAGCAAACCTACCTACATAAGAAATAACAGTGTCTACCTAAACCTATGTTTCATTATTTTTTCCATCATAAAATGATAATAATAACAATAATCGGCCCCTTATCTCCTACCTTACCAACAGGCGTGACAAAGTACTCGTGGGTCAACTCCAGGACGCTCGGCTCCCTCCTTTGCTTCCAGGCCATTGGCTCCCTCGGAAGCAGCGGCAATCAGAGGAATTCGCTCTTCGACATCCTTTCCAGACACCACCTGTGCGTGTTGAGGCCTTTCAAGGAGGTAAGCGAACTCGGGATGCACCGTACTCTATTTGGGTCGAGGGGGAGGGTGTTATTTTTGTAGGGGTAACTTATGATTCTCTCTCTCTCTCTCTCTCTCTCTCTCTCTCTCTCTCTCTCTCTCTCTCTCTCTTTCTCTCTTTCTCTATATATTCGGAGTCTATGAAAAAAAAGTCTTTCGTCTTTTTAGCACAACCAGTGACAGTAAATAAAACGCAAATTGCTCTTTTTTCCAGGCTGCATTATCCGTGGCCGTGGACCAGGACCCAAGGACAGGTCGCGTCCAGGTCACCGGCGTAGGACCCGTCACTGACCCGAGCACCAATACTCCAATGGCTTTTACTCTCACTCAGACACACACGTTCTGGCTCGAGCTCATGGTCAAGAATTCAATCAGGCTTTTGCTCTGAACACAAGTGAGGGACTGAAACTACTTCGTATTCCCCGTTTTTAGTTTTCGATTGTTGATGATAAGATCAAAATGCTATCAAATGCAAAACAATAATGTCCTATTCAAAATTAATTAACTCGAATGCATTTCCTTCACATGATGAAATGGAGGAAAGGAAAGAGAGACTGGACAGTAAAGTCACGCACTCAACACTGTTGAAATACTCCAGTTTATTCTCATTAAGGCCTTTATGTATAACCCCTGGAATATACTAGCAGCTTAAAGCGGGTCATTTCTTATCCCCTTTCTACATTATGGTGTTGCGAAAAAGAAAATGAGAGAGACAAAAAGGAAGAGGAAATCTAAAGATAGAAAGTTAAAACATAATAACCCCCCAAATCCCTTGCCCGTTGTTGTCGTGGGGGGCTTAGGAGGCGGAGACTGGGACCCAATGATGGGGAACTCCCCAACCTTGGGACTCGGCCCTCGACTCAACTAATTTTGCATGGTCTTTTTTCCCTTCCTACTCTTTTGTTTCTGTCCCATCACCAATCCCTTCTACTATCCACCTCCTAAGGTGTGAGAGCCGTGCTGAAAGGATGAAAGGCTGACTTTGTGCCAGTCCTGAACGGCCTGAGGGAGCCACGGGCACGGTATTCCCATGATTTAGTTACCTAGCCTTTACTCCTCAAGGGGACCCTGAGGGGTGGACTGTTTTTTATCTTTTTAGCTTACCATGGCCAATCATGAAGACATAACTCCTCTATTAGGGGCAATGAGGCTTACCCCTTTATCAAATAGCCCCAACGATGCAAACCCTCCCGATTCCCTGACCCCAGGCTCTCCTTTGACCACGGCTCCGAACACTGCAACAACTACCCCCTCATCAATGCCTACTAGTACAGTAGTCAACAATCAATCCCCAAAAGACATTTCCACTCTCCCAACATGCTCAACTTCAACACCTCTACCTCCACAACCTTCAACATCAACTACCCCATCCTCCCTTATTAACCCATTGCCGCCGGGGATGGCATGTATGTACATGCCATGCCCACTGTGAGTCGACTTGTTCGATTGTTTTTACACATAGATGGCTACACTTGTACTAAGTATCCAATGAGCCAATTACGAGTACTGCCTGTCTCGCCCATTCACCCTTTTCATCGATTTACAAAAATATTTAACGTTATCCTAATTTGCTGTTAAAAATAACACCATCTATATTTATAGCACTAGTAAAAAAACGTTTTTCCTGCCAATTCAAGGAAAGGTGAAATCAGGACTAGCAGAGCCATCTATGGACAGAGATATTTCACAAAAATATAAAAAATGAGTACTGCATTTCCCCCATTTTTTGTTCATTTTCCCCGGCGGCAATGGGTTAATACCTTACAGCCTTATTGCCCACCTCTCCATAACACTACCTCCCTCAACACTACTCTCTCTTCATCACGCCCCCGCCCTTCTATTACAACAATCTTAAATACCCTAATTAGTGCAGCCAAATGGGACCGATTTTTCGTGATCCCTCCAACAGCTCCCTACTCTGACAACACCCTTCTCTTCCAACAATGTCTCCAAAAACAAGTAGGCAAAGTCTCTTTCCGTAGCCGACCCGACCGCTCCCGTTTCGTCACAGTAACCTCTGAATCCCAAGCTATAGCATTAACAAAACTAGCTTATCTATATGGTAACCCCATCCTTACAGAACCCCATCCAACCCTCAACACTTGCACCGGAACTGTTTCAATCTCCCCAGTAAATTGCCCAATCTATGACAAAGATTGGTCAGATTGTGGAGAAGACTTACTCGCCTGTCTCACAGACTATGATGCGACATCAGTACTCCATTCCTCCCAAAGGTCATCGAAAGAAACCCACTAACATAGCCAAAATTACCTTCCGTAGACATGACCTTCCCTTTAACATTTACATAGGTGGAGAATCACTCCCTGTCCATCCATACCAACCTCCTTCACGTCAGTGCCAAAATTGTTGGCGTTTAGGACACCCAGCCAAACATTGTCGTTCCTCAGCCAGATGCCCACTATGTGCCCACCTGGCCATACTCGATCAAACTGCTCTGCACAATCACGCACATGTGCCAACTGTGGTGGCCCCCATAATGTATTTTATAGGGGCTGTCCCACCTACAAATTTGAGTCTGAGGTGGCAACTCTCAGATTCAAATTTCAAACACTACATGAAGCCAGACAGGAAGCACATCGACGTGGTTTCTCTCTTACTCCTTCATCATCATCAAACGGAAAGTTCACGAATGAACTGCCGTGGCTCTCAATTTTGCTCTTTCTTGAGCCAACCGAAACATTGCTACAAAACTCATTCCGCTGATATGCCTGATGTTATCACTTAGACGGGTCTTGGGTCTCCCTTTTCTTCGCTTCCCATACACTGATCCTGTTAGTAAGTCCTTCTCTAGATGGTCACTTCGCAGAATATGCCCTATAAACGACAGTTTTCTTTTATTGATAGTAATTTGGAGCCTCTCGTTGGTATTCATCTTGTTTAGCACCCATTCGTTCGTTTTCCTTTCAGTCCAACTGATTCTTAGAAGCCGCCTGAAACACCAGAGCTCAAATGCCTCAATTTTCTTCTCGTCTGTCGATTTTAGAACCCAACATTCGGAACCGTAAGTGGCTATAGGAAATACGAGCGACTGTAGAAGCCTCTTCTTCGTTGAAATGGAAATAGCCTTGTCCTTCCATATGTTGCTGAGGGATACCATTGCATTTTTTGCAGTAGCTAATCTTCTTTTAACTTCTTCGAATCATCATAATTGTCTGCGAACAGGGCGCCTAGGTACACAAAACTGCTTACATTTTCAATAGTCTCATCATTTACTTTCACACATGCCTGCTTAACTAGAGGATCATTCGAAATTGTCATAACTTTCGTTTTAGATGTGTTCAGATGTAGCCCAGCTTGTGCACTCGCTTCGTTCACTCTACTGACCAGAGTTTGCAGTTCATCTATGCTGCTAGCTATTAAAACAACATCGTCGGCATATCTCAGATTTGAGATTATATCACCTACCTTAACTGAACCTTCAAAATTATCAAGAGCCTTTCTCATTATGTTTTCGGCATATATATTAAAGAGATGCGGGGAGAGTATACAACCCTGTCTTACACCTTGACCTATGTCAAACCAATCTGTTAACCCATGTGTGGTCTTAACTGCTGCTCGTTGATGCTCATACATACTCCTTATCAGATCAACTAAATGTCTCGCAAAACCCATCTCAAGCATTGTTTCCCACATAACCTCATGCGACACCATGTCAAATGCCTTCTTATAGTCAATAAAGCATAACAGGATATCATTTCCGTGTTCTCTATTCTTCTCATTTTCAAGTTGAGGATTTGGTTCCTGGTCCCTCTTCCTGGACGAAAACCTGCTTGTTCTGCACTTATTTCTTCATTCAGTTTAATTTTCATTCTATCTGCAATGATCTTCAAGATGATTTTGTTGCAATGGCTAATAAACGCTATTGTTCGATTATTACTGCAATTTTGAGCATCTCCCTTTTTCGGTATTGGTACGAATATAGATTTCACCCAGTCTTCTGGCCACTCTTTCTTTTCCCAAATTTTTGTGCACAATTTCTGGAAGAATTTCGTGACATTGTGATTTCCAATTTTTATGAGCTCTGATGCAATGTTGTCAAAACCAGGACTTTTTCCGATTTTTAATTCTTTGATGGCTTTTTCAACTTCTGAATACAGTGGTGGTGGTTCTTCACTTAATTCGTCAGTATCGTGTAACAATGCAGTTCTCACAGAAGTGTTATCATTCTTCTTGTAGAGTTCATAGCAGTATTGCTTCCATCTACTCTTCACCTCTTCGCCTTCGAACAATACCTTATTGTTTTCATCTTTTATTGTATCTATAGTAGGTCTAAACTTGTTTGTAAGTTTCTTAACTCCCTGGAATAAGTCTTTGATTGAATTTGTGACTGAATTGCTTTCTATAGTTTGGCAAAGTTCATTAATTTTCCTATCATTATCTTGTCTCATCATTCTTTGGACTGTTGCATTTTGCTTGTTATATTCTATTTGGGTTTGTTCGTTCTTGATGCCTTTAGCTTTCATTTCCCTTCTTTTGTCAATCTCAGTTAAGGTGTTGTTCGATATCCAGGGATTGTTTTTCTTCTTTCTTCTTTCTATGTTGGTCTCAGTGGCACTGAGAATGATTTCTTTGCCATTTCCCCATAGTTCATTAGGAGTTTGTTCCTCTTCGCATTCAAGCAATGCGGCAAAACGATTAGAGATTTCGACTCTGTATTTTTCATTCATTGTTGAATAGTCGAAGCGGAGTGGAATTGGTGGTTTATTTATTTTCTTCAATCTTAACAATAAGTCTACTACCAGAAGTTGGTGGTCCGAGTTGCAGTCTGCCCCGGGTCTTGTTTTAGCATTCCTCACACTTCCTTTCCATTTTTTATTTATGAGGATATAGTCTATTTGATTTCGTGTTTGCTTGTCCGGTGATGTCCAGGTGTACAGGTGTCTTGGGTGATGTTTGAACATTGTATTCGTAATCACTAGATTATTTGTTCTGCAGAAATCGATAAGGTTCTCACCACGCTCATTTTGTTCTCCCAGTCCGAACATACCAGCACAGTCCGTGTTGGTTCTTTGTCGTCCCACCTTAGCGTTAAAATCTCCCGTTATATTTGTGATGTCTCTACTGGCCGTCTTGTCTAGACTCTGTTGTAGTGAACTGTAGAATTCATCTATTTCTTCATCATTTGCAGTACTGGTAGATGCATAACACATTACAAGGGTGATGTTGTATGGTTTAGCTTGGAGTCTTACTTTTATAATCCTGTCTGAAATAGGGTTATATCCAATCATAGCTTTCGCGGTTTCTTTTGAAAGAACAACTTCCACTCCATGGCTATAACCTGCCCCTTCCTCTTTTCCGGAATAGACAACAGTTTTTGTTTCATGAGTTGTAAAACTGCCACAATTGGCCCAATTTGTCTCGGCCATTCCAAGAAACTCCAATTTATTTCTATCCATCTCATTACAAATGGTGTTTAGCTTTCCCAGCTCCTTTAATTTTCTTACATTCCAAATACCGATTCTGAAATTTGATCGTAAATTAACTGTGCGTTTTCCAGTAGCATACTTATCACCTCCAGCCTGGTTGCCCACTGGACAGCGCGCTCCTTGGTGACCCATGCAACGAGCGATGTGGTATGAGTTTTGATTTTTTGTAACTTTCATGGAGAGTAGTCAGGAAAAAAGAAATAGCAGAGTAGGTTTCCTAGTTCTCTTTCTCTGCCGCAGGTTTCCTCTACCGGAAGGTATACCTCTGCCGTTTGTTCAGTTGAACTGAATATCCGCCAGAAGTAAGCATTCATTGGAACCATCGGACACAGTTGCACTGAAGGAGCTTCCAGAGAACATCTGCTGCCCCGCTGATACAGCTTTGTCCCTAACAACCCTAAAAACCCAAGGGCCCGCTCGGTTTTATGGCGCCGACCGCACTCGCCAGTCACAAGAGTGAGTAGTAGCGATCATGTGTGCGCACTTTGTAGAAGTTAGGTGGGACTACCTAACCCCATGCACGATCTCCACACTCTGCCTGGATGCAGTTTTCTGTCTTACCCAGGACAGCTCTTACTCCTTACTCCAGTAATATTGTTCATTCTACCACTTCTCCTAAACCCACCCTTCCTCCATCTAACTCCCCCTCTTCTACCTCCTACCTTCCCCAGTCAAACTCTTTTGCCATCCTAAATCCAGACACTCCAATCTCTACTACAGACACTTTAATCTCCACTACAACCCCAATACTTTCCCCTCTCCCTCCCCGCACTACCCGCAACAGACTAAACAAAAGTTCCACCCCCTCTTCCCCTACCACACAATCACCTCCACCTTCCTTTGCCCCTACTCTTGAGACACCAGTCTTCTCTTCCCCCCCTCACAAGAAATCCTTTATCTCCCAAAACTCCCCAACCAACTCCTTAGAAGAAACTCTTGAAAATATTCAAGACTTAATGAAAATTGACACTCATCAACTTTCAAATCCTACAACTCCTGCGCCTTCCAGACTCCAAGTGACTGCCGATATCCATCCCCCTCCTAACAATATCCCCCTTACACCCTATCCTCCTACTCCCTCCCAACACAGCCATCCCCCCCAACTCCAACCCTCCCCACATTAACCCTCCCACCATCCCCTCTATCCCTTCCACTCCTTCCTGGATACACACGTGAATCCCTTATGTAACAAGTATCCCCTTCCTCAGACCCTCCACTTCCTAATACCCCTTCTGATACAACACCAACTCCCACACCTCCCCTCTCTCAGACCTTTCAGTTCTTATCCCACCCTCTAGCTGTTTCCCCTTCAAATTCTCCAACACGTACTACAGTCTATATCACAAAAGTATAACTATCCTTCATTGGAGTATTCGTGGTTTCCGCTCTCACAGACCCGACCATCGTCATATCCTTTCCTCTTATAACCCATCCATTGTAAGCCTTCAAGAGACCTTTTTTATACATCCTCCAATACCAATCCCCAATTATTATTTTGTCTCTTCTCCACACTCCCTTTATGTCTCGTCCATACTTATCAATCGGAAAACACCGTATGTCATACCTCCCTTTCAAACCAATGTCCCTTGCACAGTTATTCGTATCTTTCTTCACCGCTGGATCACAGTGATTTCAGTTTACTTCCCCCCCCCCCATTGACTTTGTTGCTTTTGAAAATCTAATTTCCCAACCTCAACCACCTTTCCTCATAGTTGGTGACTTTAACTGCCGCCACACTCTTTGGGGTGATTCTATCACCAACTGCCAAGGCCGATCTCGAGAGGGCTTCCTCTCCACAGCTGACCTTACTATTCTAAATTCAGATCGACCTACACACTTTGATACACATACGCAATCTTTTTCATGCATTGAGCTCTCTCTATGCTCACCTTCTCTTCATTTAGATTTCCACTGGTCAGTTCTAGACCACTTTCCCTATAGTGACCACTTTCCAGTTCTTTCTCCTACTTCATATGTACCATTTCCTAATTCCCCACACTGGTGCTTTGATAGAGCCGACTGGCATACTTTCACTTCACTCTCTGCTATTCATACCCCTCCATCTTCCCTCTCATCCATTTCAGAAATGATACAGTGATTCACAACTACAGTCCTAAGAGCTGCTCATACAGCTATCCCTCGAACCTCAAGACCCTATACCTCCAAATGTGTTCCATGGTGGAATTCTGATTGCACTAAAGCACTTCACTTAAAACATGCAGCCTGGAACAGTTACCGCTACAAGAGAGGTAATCCAAATCAACTATCAGCCCTTATCTCCTTTAAAAGAGCATCTGTCTGTCTTCATCGTACAATCAAATAGCTGGCAAAACTAGGTTTCATCAATTACATCTATCTCAACTGTTTGGCGCCGAATCCATAAACTATCAGGCAAACATCCCCCCCATCCAGCCCCCGTCCTCCATATTCGAGATACACTCATTTCTGATCCTCTCCAAGTCACCAATGAACAGAGTGATTATTTCAGCCAGGTCAGTAGTGGTTCTCACCTTTCTCCACACTTCTCTTCTATGAAGACCATCAGAGAATGTACCCCCATTATCTTCACCCCATCCTCTGCTGAGTCCTACAATGCTCCATTTTCTTCCTCTGAACTCAATGCTGCCCTACAATCGTGCCACAACACTCATGAAGGCCCTGACGGTAGTCACTACCGTATGCTCCGGCAACTCCCATCTTCCTCCTTATCCTTCCTATTAAAAATTTACAACCACATATGAACATCAGGAAATTTTCCTTCAAATTGGCGAGAAGCTCTTATCTTTCCCTTCCTGAAACCCAATAAATCGGGTACCCTCCCTCAAGACTATCGCCCCATGGCACTAACTAGCTGCTTGTGCAAACTATTAGAGAGAATGGTGAACTTCCGCTTAATGTGGTAACTTGAATCTCACAACCTTCTCTCTCCTTACCAATTTGGTTTTCGCCATGCCCGAAGCACAGCTGACCCCCTTGCTCATTTTGAGACGAATATTCCATCTGTATTCGCACGCCATGAATCTGTACTAGCTATATTTTTTGATCTAGAAAAAGCATATGATACGACATGGTGGTACCATATTCTCCAACAATTGTCCTCTCTAGGCATACGTGGAAACATGGGTGTCTTCATAAAGTCTTTCCTCTCCCAATGCACTTTCCAGGTCAAAATTGCCTCTGCCACATCATCTTTCTTTCCTCAAATTGAAGGTGTCCCACAAGGCAGTGTGCTCAGTACCACTTTATTCCTTCTTGCTTTTAATGATATTGTCTCAGTTTTACCACCAGGAGCCCGGTTGATGATTTAACCATCTATGCCTCTGGCACATCCATACCAAAACTCTACCAATTTCTTCAGTCTGCAATCTCATCGGTATCATCCTGGGCCACAAACCATGGCTTCCGCTTTTCTACCTCAAAATCTTTCTCCTTCCGTTTCTCTCGCACACGTGTAGGTCTCCAACCTCCACTCTTCTTATATGGCATTCCACTCCAATACCGTTCCTCTGGCAAATTCCTAGGTGTCATTTTTGACTTCAAACTGACCTGGCGAGACCATATTCTACACATTAAAGAAAAAGCTCTCCGCTGTCTTCGAATCCTAAAAACTCTATCCCATATATCATGGGGCTGAGATCGCAAAACTCTCCTTCATCTTCATGTTACTTTGATTCTCTCCACTCTTGATTATGGATGCCATATCTACTCCTCTGCCTCAACTTCTCTCCTTGCCCATCACTGTGGTCTTCGCTTAGCACTAGGCGCCTTCCGCTCCTCTCCAGTTGAGAGCCTGTACACTGAATCAGGCATACCATCTCTATCTCGACGCCATGCCCTTCTCTCTCTCCGATGTTATGCTCGATTCCACCAACTTTCCCTTACTAAACTAACTATCCCACAATCCATACTTCCTACCTTAGCTTCTTCTCCACGTTTACCTACTCCTTTCTCCACTCGCTTGGATACCCTCCCCTCCCATTCCCCTTTCCCCCATCTCCAACCACTCCCATTCTCTGTCCATTCTGTCCCTCCATGGCTTATACCTTACCACCATATTTGCTCTTCTGTTTTCCCCGACCCACCAAAATCAAATATTCCTCCTGCTGTCCTTCTCACCCGTTTCCTTGACCATGTATCCACTCATTTCTCTAGTATTCACGTATATACTGATGGCTCCAAATCCACCTCCGTTCACCGACCTCCCAACCTATCAGACATCCTTACAGAATCCCACACTTTCTGCTTCAACAACCTGTCCTCTTTCCTCAAACGCATACATATCCTTCATCTAATCTAACTCCTTTACATTACCACACCCGACCTTAACCCTTTCACTCACCAATTCCTTTGCCAAGCTTCGACAACTAATCACTAACTCAACCACCCTTCACTAACATTTACTATAGTGCTACATGACCTTAGATGTCTAGCACATTTGTCTTGCTTTTAACCATTAACCATTAACCATTAAAACATAATAATAATAATAATGAGAATAATGGTAACAAATATGATGAAAACGAATGATAATAACAATTATGAGAGAAAGATATAGATAATAAAGATACAGGTGATGATAATGATACTGATGAAGAGTATTATTAAAAAGCAATGATAAAAATTACGATGGTGAAGATAATAATTATACCAAAAAGCAGATAAAAGCTTATCAAAACAAGCCGCACTTAAACCTAGAAATATATTTTAGGACAACCTTTAAATAAATCTTAATCCTTAAATAGAATTAAATGAAATAAAATAAAATAAAATTGCAATAAGAACAGTCACAAAACAAAAGGCAAACATCATTACGCAGTTTTTTAATTGGTTTAATAGGTAATATCGTTATTATTATTGTTATTATTATTATCATTATTATTATTATTATTTTCATCATAATCATTATCATTATTTTTACAATCACCATCATTATTATAATCCTTATTATTTTTATTATCATTATTATTATTGTTGTTGTTGTTGCTGTTGTTGTTGTTGTTATTATTATTATTATCATAATTATTATTATT